GCTATTAATATTAGGGTTAGGGCAAAATTGCGAGAGGAGCATTTTTACTTACTGTAGTTACACCCTAGTAAAATTTTAAGTTATTATAAAATTATTAAATATAGCTACTATATAGTAGCTACAAAATAAATCAATTTAAATTTTTATTATAAAAAATTAACTTTAAATAGTATATAATTTTTTTTATTAAAAAATTATTTTAATAGTATAGCTATATACAGTATAATTTACACAATAGCTACAAATAAATTAATTTTAAAAATTATTATAACTTTAAACAAGAATAAATTAATAAAACCTTAACCAAATTTAATAAAAAAATTTTTAAACAATAATTTTACAAATTTGTAAAATTAATTTAATAAATTTAATTAATTTTTTTAAGTTATCTTTGTTAAAAAATATTTGCTTGGTTTTCAATTCCAAGTATTTCAAGTATATACAGTATATTTAAATATTCATGTATATCCAAATATTTGAGAACTTTCAAACAATTTCATAGAATTCTTGATTTTTATTGGACGAAACGCTACAAAAATCGGTCACGTGCAGGGCTAGTTACGGCCAGAATTATAATGCTTGGCCGGCATTAACTGTTAAATTTAATAATACAGTCAACTCTCGCTAAGAGCAACTTCTCTTTAAATGCAACTTTGACTTCGGGTCCAAGATCTCTATAAATACAAATTTTCTTAATTGCTTTTTAAATGTTGCTAAATGTCTGGTCCCGACGAATTGGACTTAGAGAGTTGACTATATGATTCCGAATTTTTCTGAGGTAGACAATGAGTGAACCTCAAATACGAGCAAGGTTGAACTATAAATTTTGAATAAATGCCAAACGCAATAACAAATATACAAATTTAGCCAACTAAAATTTCAGATTTTGGCCCAAATTATAAGTTTATATTGGCTAAAAAAAAAATTTCCAAATATTTGAAATTTTCCAAATCAATATTTGCGAATATTAAAAACAATTTTTTTGTGTTCTTGGTATTAATCCACAGCCATAGTTACGGTCTGTCGTTTCACGGGCTGGGTGCCTGTAAAGAACGATAAAATATTAAAATCATTTTGTGTAGATAATATTAGATAAGATTCGAATCTAATTACCCTCTCGAAAACCATTCTTGAAACGTCGAGACACATGTTTTAGATATCGCATACGACCAGTACCAGTAGTTTTTCTGCGTTTACCCTTTTCACTCCAGTTATCTATATGAAAATCAATTAAATTACACTGAGTAAAAATTTTATGTAACATCATTGCGAAATAAAATAGGGATAATTAACTTCGCAAAAATTCGCCACTTTTCAAATTTTAAACAACGACAAAAAATTCAAAAGAGAAAACGAGAAAGTA